TCGTGTACAAGACACAAGTTTGGCACAGGATCTTTGAAATGGAGGTTATGTCAAGGTTCTTTCACAATCAGTCGCTTGTTTTCACTAGCCTGACAATTACGTTTTATTTGTCCCCAGTGCAAGAGAACCCCAGTCAATGGTAAGCCAGCAAAATGTCAGGCATTTCAGCTTTGATGAAACAATCACATTCAGGTGCATCCATATCTGACACAAAAAAATGTCTTTTTGCAGAGAACCTCATCTGTGCTTCAGTCGATAGGTGAGTAGATTACTGTTTTGTCACTACAGAGTTTTCATAGGCAATATTCTATTACGCAATGTAACCAAGGTGACAACGGATTTCTTTTTTGTGTGCTTTCCTCAGATCACAACTCACAGAAACCCTGTCAACTGGCAGCTCCTCCACAGCCCTGTGCAATTTTACTATCACTGAACATGCCTGTTCCTCGGTAAGATTCTTTTATGTAAGATTTAAATCCCAGACAAAAACTTGGCTCTTGCTGAATCACAATCCTAAAACAAATCTCCGTAAGCGCTGACAAGTGTGCTGCATTCCTTGTCAATGTTTTTCCAAGGCTAAACATCTCACAACCAGCAATTTGGTCACACTGATGAAATGCTCACTGGAAAGCCAAAGGACATACTCAGTGGAAGTTTGGAAGCTTTTCTTCCAAAAAGCTTCTTCTACCCTGGACCAGGCTCTTGTGACATCGGCTACCAAGGTCAGTCCAGTTTCACAATATTGTTGTTTCCCTGTTTGAATTCTGTGTCTAACCAATGTGGGCTTTTGTTTTGTGTCCAATTCTAGGCCTCCAACAATGGTAGCCAAGCCTGGTCAAATGCTCTTGAGGCTCTTGGGGAGGTGAGAATTTTCAACTTCGGTCAGGAACAAATGCAGAGTGAGGATTTCATCAGCAGCTGGTTCCAGACAAAGATACATCCATTTCTGGCCTCTCCATCGCCCAGATTCCTATCCTGTCTTAGCTCCAAATACTTCAGCTGCTTGACGTACCGGATTGTGTAAGCAAATTTTAGATAAAGTGCTCCATTAAGAACAAGACTGCAGAGAAAACTGCCGTCTTCTAGTTGTTTTTGATGTTAAAATCTTCTCTCAAATGTTAGCATCCAGGCATTCAGCAGCCAACGGGCATACATGGACACAGACAGACAACAAGCTGTCTTCACTCATTTCATCAAACCATTCCTTTCAAGTAATGAGTCTTCAGGTAAGGACAAGCACCCAGGCTCTCTTTGGTAATGTCTCAACAGCATGCGGTGTCAGCAACCTGCCGCTGTCTTTGTTTCCCTCTCTTTATTTGCAGATCCTGGCTGCCTTGCATCTGTCAGTGGTAGTAAAGAGTGGCTACTATCATACCTTGGAAACTTCTCTCATTATGCAACCCTGCAGGATTTGCAAGCCCTCAATCCCAACTTCTCAAGTGTGAGTGGCAACTGAAGTTGCAGAGCTCTTTACCTAAACTGAAATCTTCTGTCTATGGTTTTGCAATCATTACTGGTTGACGTCATACTGTGTCCCTTTTGTAGGCCGAATGCTTGTCAGTGCTCACTCCTTCTCAGGTGGCACAGGTGACACTTACTTCATGGGCCTGGAACAACACAGACATAATCGATCTTGTCTTTGAGCGACTTGAGGAAGGCAACGCTCTGGCAAATGTGGATGAATTCCTCACACAGCTGACAGCAAATGGAACGGTAGGTTTCTCTTGAAAGCTGGAGAAGAGGGACAATCCTGAACTTGTGCTTCTAACCTATAAACTGCATCGTGTTTAAGTCCTCTGGTGTTGCAATGTCACAGGTCCTAGATTTCCAGCCTGTTGTGAGGGACCGTTTAATGAACAAGACCTTCGTCATCATCAGTCCCCATCTCCCAGCCTTCAGCAAAGATGACTTTTATCAGTGGTTCAATGTAAAATTGGTTCCCATTCTTGCAAGCTTCAGTCCAATGATGCTTAAGACTGTAACTTCAAACATAAACTGCACAAACTACCATGTCGTGTGAGTAGTGTTTTAGGCACAAGCAAGAATTTTTTAAACATAGAAAAGCACTGATGAGGGACTGTTTAAGAATGCTTCCTTTAACCTTTGCAGTGTAAGTGGGATGGCCAAGGTTTTCGCCGCGAAACCCTTGCATAGACGACAAGAAATTGCAGATGTCCTGCTGGGCTACCTGAAAAGTTCTGCCTGTATCATCAACGAGCCAGGTAGGGCTGACACAATCAAGATTTTGCTCTTGTGGCCTTGGCCATGGACCCTAAAATAGTTTTTTAGAAAAAAGAAAGAAAAATTCTGGAATTACAGTGAGAAGAAAACTGGCCTAAAGTTGTTTGATGTGCATCAATCTAAAATCCGACCTGCCAAACTGTATTTATGCAAGCATTTAATCAGCGTGCTTTAGTTTGCAGGCAAGGAATTAAGAGTGACGCAGAATGGCTTGAAGCAAACTTGGGTCCATTCTCCCAATACGCAACATACTCTGACATTAAAAGCTTCAAACTTCCTGGGGTAAGTCCTTGGTCCTGCATTGGTTAATACTGTCACAAGCAATGGTTTTCTCACCCATGCTCATAAAATAGGTTACATTTAATTTTTCAGGTGACCATACTGGAGGATCTTTCTCTCAGACAACAAGCTGAATTCCTTCTTGAATCAAACAACTTGTCAAATGAAACCCTTGTGAGAACGGTATTTACAAGAATGACTTTAGTATCATCTATGGACGACCTTGACATTTTCTTCCACAATTTTATTACTGGTGCTACAGAGGTAAGCATTTTCATCACAATAACCCTTTTCATTCCTTTATTAAAGTGGAAAAAAAAATGTCTTCTGAAAAATATATGTCACTTGTTTTCAGCAAAACCGGACAATCATTAAGCCCAGAGTGCGAGACACCATCCTAAATCTGACATTCAAGGCTCTTGGTCCAAAACTATCCATGCTAAATGCAGAAGACTTTAAGTTATGGTTCCAGGTTTACCTACCTCTGTTCCTCCCAAGCATTGACTCAAGCATATTTGAAATGATTCCAAGAAGCATCACCTGCAAATCCTATCAAATGATGTGAGTACAAACTGAAGTGGTAAAACACGAATTAGAAAAAGACCCCAGAAATATTTTTTGCACACATCTAGATGAATTAAAGCGTGTTGTTTTTTTGTTTGTTTTTTGTCTCTTCAGTGTCAGGGGGCTTGACAACATTTTCATTCATCTCTCAATGAGACAGACACAGGAGGTTTTCAGGTTTATGATTGACTATCTCAGTACGCAATCCACTTCAGGTAAATTGAATAACATATTCGCAGAACAATGCACTTTCTGGTACTCCTGTGGAGGTTGTCAAAGTCCATTGTTTTGTTCTGCATGGCATGTTCAGTCTAAACATGAAGTATTTTCAATCCTAGGTCTCTCCTGTGTCGAGTCTGTACATAATGACAGACGATGGCTTGAAGAAAACTTTGGTCATTTCTGTATGCATGCCTCTTTTATGGACTTTGTGAATCTGAAGAACAACTTCAATGGAGTAAGTGTTGCCTTTTCATCGTAGCATGACCTTACATGTTCATACTGGTTTATTACAAATGCACTACGAGGTGTAAATAAGTTGACAATTTATTGTTACCCTTGTGTATTCGCAGTATTTAAGCACTTTTTGTTGTCCTAATGAGACATCCACACTCCATAGCTGCTTGTTTGGCCAACCCTCATGTAGCAATCTGAGTTGTCTTGTGTTTTATGTGCCTTTAACCAATAAAATGTTGTCGCTCCTTCTATACAAGTTCAGTGAGTTAGGATCAGGAGTCACAGCACCCACTTCAGTCCAATCTTACCTTCTCATCCAAAAATCGTGTTTATTTTCAATGGTTTTCAGCAAAAGTATTGTTCAGGAGCATCATTTTGTTTTGTATTTATAGTGTTTGTGTTTTTAAATGTCTGTAAATCCTCAACTTTTCAGATTATTTCCAGGTTTAGATAAAAATATTCCATATTTCTCAGATATTTCAACCCCAATATGGATGCAAATACATCACAACTGATTTAACTGTCAGGCCAATGGTGAATTTGTACACCTCACTAAGCACTGGCTGAGCATCGCCCAGTCACCCATAATCACAGCAAACCAACAAGCAACTAATGAACAGCATACTCATCAGAACTGGCTTACCACTTTGCTTGATATGAGAAGAACAAATCTACAAAAAGACACTTTAAATCTTTCTGGATGGCTAAATCCACACTGTATTTTCCAAAAACTCTCAGCCAAAAATGCTAGCATTTTGGTAAATTGCAATCTGTTGGATTTGTGTGTATAACAAGAGGGTGGACAGAAATTTCTATTCACAGTGTTGTGTGTGTAGGAGGCAACAAGACGTCGACAAAATAGTAATAAAATACCTCAAACTACCTGCAGTATGGATATTAAACACTTACTAGGTTTGCAGTTGAGCTGGAGCTATTTCTGCATTCAGGTCCATATAGTAACCTGTAGATTAAAGTGTTAAACTGAGGGTTACACTTTGGCAGGTAGACACTCCATCCTTTGTCTTATATTCACATGTCACTTGCCTTCGTTACCAAAAGAGGTTTAACATGACAGGTGTGTTGCTGATTCAAATCATAGAACTGCATGCTGTTTGGTTGTTCTTACTGAATTGCTGCTTGTCACTTGTAGGTGGAGGTTGCAGATCTTCTTACTGTCAGTCAACTGGCCCAGCTCGCAGCAACCCCCTCACAGCTACACGGGAGACAGGATGTGACAAAAATCATGAAAGTCATCAACCCTGTTAACTTTGCTGCTTTCTTTGACATAGTCTCACCAGCCATTAAGGTAAACATCCACACAGATGACACTGTTTTTTTGGTTGCATACATACATTGTAGTAAAAACAGTAACTCTGAATCCTGCTGAAACTGAAAACAGTTTTTTGTAATATCATGTTATAATGTTATGTTATTTGGTTACATTTGTTACATTTGCTTAAACTAATAACCTTAATAATAACCTTAATAGTACTGGCTGGGAATGTATTACAGTGACTCTTTTGATGCTGTTATAAAGTTTTTTTCTACCAGCAGTGTAAGTTAGAACTGGGAAGAAGAGCAAAAACTAGCTTGACAGACACACCGCTAACAAGCACTCACCAGAATAAGATTAGCTTGCAAGTTGCACATTACCTCTATTTTCATTTTAGCTCAACTTGAACCAGTACAAGTTAAAAAAAAAAAAAAAAGAAGAAGAAGAAGGAGCTCAGCAGATTCTTCTGCTTCCTTTTATGCTTTGAGCTCATAATGTAAACGGTGGTGGAGCAAAATTTGAGGCACGGAGCGGGAGATAAGGCGACGCTCCGGCCTATGAAAAATCCTGCTTCTCATTCCGTCCAGACGTTTTGGCTCCTCCACTCGCTTGGCTCACATGCCCTGGGACCACTTTTATGTTTTGTATAATCCTGGTTTAAACTTTTACTAAAGCCATTTCCATTTCTTCTGTACTTTAACCTCTAATATTTTGTTGTCTCAGTTCTTTATGTGTGACTGTTTTTACTTGTTTTTTTGTCTTTGTCAACATTTTTAATTAGCTTTTTACAAGCAACATGATTCAAATGTAGTATTTTCACGTTCACATTAACCATTTAACCTCAAAGTCCAGCTTGTTACTGATATTATGTGCATTTCCAACAGGCCCACTCAGGTAACTACACAAAGGAGGTGCGATCTGCCTTCCTCCAGAAAATTTTTGAAAGGGGAAATCTGTCACCGGCGGCTGTCAGCGATGAAGACTTCCTGCTGTGGCTCAGGGTTCGACTGAGTCCTCTCCTGGTCAACCTCTCTCCCGCTCTGGTGCCGACTTTATTCAGCATGGCAACCAACAGGAGCTGTAGCAGCAGCCAAGAGACGTAAGAACAGCTTGGATAATGTTGCGTAATATCTGTGATGCCTAAGCAGCACTATAATATGAATGTTTTGCAGAGGATTTTGGATCAAACAGAGTGGTAACCAGTGTGTGTTTTCAAATCCCATCATTTAATTCATCTGAATTTAGGATTAGAATTCTGGACACACTTCACACGACACTCAGTGACGACACCCAAAAGAAGATCTACGAAAACATCCTCCTTATCCTTCAAGGTTTGTGCAAGAGATTGTGCTGTGCTGTCGTTAAGTTACCTAGAAGATCAATGAGGATACACATCTGTGCCAAAGAAATGTTGTTCTAAAGCAGGGGTGGACAATCCTGGTCCTCGAAGGCCACAGTCCTGCATGTTTTAGATGTTTCCCTCTTTCCACACACCTGATTCAAATGATCAGGATCGTTATCAGGCTTCTACAGAGCTTGACGATGAGCTGATCATTTGAATCAGGTGTGTTGGAAGAGGGAAACATCTAAAACATGCAGGATTGTCGCCCTCGAGGACCAGGATTGCCCACCCCTGTTCTAAAGGGATCCTTTTTTTTTAACAACAAAAGTTTTTTGTTTTTTTTTCTGTGATGTGATATGTGCCCCTGAAAAATGTTTTACTCTGTGAACCAGATCCAACGCCACTGAAGTGTTACAGTGGTGGAAGTTTCTACATCTATTTGAGAAACACCTTCCTCAGCTTTGGCTTTCCAAATGTAACCACGTTCATGTCTCTTCTGCCACCTACCCGCCAATCAGAGGTGACAAAAAGCCATACATTTAAAAAACACTGTCACACACAGATGCAAAGGGAGATTATTTACAGTAACACTTAACTTGCAGATCTTACCATATGATTGTTGCTGCCGTGCTAAGGCACACTGCTTTGGTGCTCTTCCAGTGGTAATATCTAAATATTCTCTCTTTTTTTTTTTTCTTTTTTTTTTACAGCTTCTAAGTACCTTTAACACCTCAGAACTGCGGCAGTTCCTCAGTCAACCAAATGTGATTGGTAACAGTTCTGACATCTGTGTCATCTTCAACAACTACAACAACACTCCTGCCTTCCTAGAAACTGTACGTTCGTCATCTTTAGCATCAGTATTATTGACCAGACACAAACTTGTACATGTTGTTATTAGTAGCATCTGAGCAGGAATCTTGTCATATTTATGAAATTGCCAGTTTTACTCCAGTGTGTCATTAATTGTGCAAGAACTTGTGTTTGCCATCAGGAGGATGTTCCAGATGATGTGAAGACGGTAACCCTCCCCTGTGTTTGGCCTTTGGCCTTGAGCAGTGGCAATAGATCTGAGGCTAATTTGTGGTTCAACCGACGGTTGAGGAACTACCTTAGATTTCTCAGCAAGAGCCTCATCAGCTCCCCTGTAGTCCAGAATGCTTCATGTCTTGGCTTCCAGAAACTGTAAGTCTCTTTTTCACAGTGTCACAAAGCTGAAGGATGGATGGATTACAAGGTACAAAGTGTTGCTTTGTTTTCCTTTCAACAGGGTGTCTGTGATGGGAAATAACTTCACATACAACAGTTCTGAGTTTGGACAGGAGGATGTGTATGCCACCATCAGTAGCTACTTGAGAACTGGTAAGATGTGTTTTTGTGCAGATGTATAATTTATAAAGGCCAATTCATGATTTTTAATATTCCAGTATGCCGACAGCTGCAGACTCAAACTCCCAACAGCCAGACTTGCATGTGCTTCTATACATGCAGCAATTAGGTGTATGTATATTTGGACATGTTTCACATGTTTGGATAAAAAACCAATGACAGCGACTATCTGACAGCAAGAAAAATATCTGCTTTACCTCAAACTTTACCTGAAACCAGAAATTGTCTTTTTATTGCAACAGCTCTGGTGGTGATCATTTAGTAACACCATCACGGTTAAAACTTTCATTTGTCAGATAATCTAGGTTAAGACCAAATACATCTAAATCTAAAGGCATTCCCACCAGCTTCAGCTGTCTTACTACTAATTTGAAAACAAGGACATGTAACAACATACTACTAAACACTAGCATGTTAGTTTTGTAACATAGATCAAGGTATATGTTGACAATGTTCTGGATTCCTCTGTCATCGTAGGCTCTGGAGCCAGATGCTACAATACCAGCGATGCAGAACTAAATTCTACCTCCTGGTTTGTCGATCACATCGGCAGCTTTGTGACATTTATGACTCTGGACGATCTCACCGCCTTTGTCTCCACCACTCAAGTATGTTCTCATTCAAATCTGTACAGTTCATTTAAAGTTTACATTTCATCAAAATACACACATTCTTGTTTTAATTAGACTCATTGTGGGTTCCACATTTTTAACTAAATTGGTTTGTTTAATTGTATTTTAATTTGATCACAACCCAAGGTGTTTCTAAACAAAAAACAAAAAACAGAGGAAGTATAGAAATATGACTAAAAGTTAGCTTTAATAACCTGTTTTGGTTTTGAAGATTAAACTGTTCTTGGAGGACCGAGCCAACCTGGAGCTCTTTAACAACAAAGCAATCCCAGAAAATGTAACCAGCTACTACATCAGTCAGCTTTTTGCATCAAATTCAACTTTTAACCTGGTCAGGTAAGGGTTAACTTTTTTTTATTTTTGCAAATATACACAGGTAGGGAATAAACAAATCTCATTCCGTTACTGAAATGTTTAATATTTATATTCACATGAGGTTGGATAATATGTTACTTTACATTCAGGCTTCCAGGCGTCTTCCTTTGCTTTTCTGAGGTCCCAGCTTTGGCATATTCTTCTTTGAATGAAAATGATACGATACTCATCTTGGATAAGTTGAAGAAATTCTGCAGTGGAACACAGGACCCTGAGGTACCAGCCCTAAAAGTTTCTACACAGAAACAGAGCTTGAGTTACATTTTTTCTAGCATGTAAGAGTTGGTATTCCCTGGTATAACAAATTCCGATGGAGCATCAAAACTGATATTTAAAAAGTCAGGAAACAGGAAAGGGCTGCAAGGTGGAGC